TAACAAAAAATAACTTCTTAAAAACAGTGAATAACTTTGTCAACAAAACCTTTTACCTGGGAGACAGAGATATATATGCATCGTATACCGTCTATTGCTGAAAACTCATAATTAAAAGATGCATTCAGATATACTTGACAAGAATTGCATCCTGATGAAGCAATAAAGAAAGAATGCGACAGAACATATGAGTATTTATTAAATATTTGTGTAAAACGAAAGATAAAAGAAACTCTATTGACTCTCCAAATAATAATTTATTAAATTCAGGAAGAAACGACATGATAAATAAGTATTCATGAATATTCTTGTATTTTAAATCTCGCTTGCAAAGGTCAGGGATTGTGTAAATAATAATTCGCTCACGCATGGTGTTATGGATGAGAATAAATCGTAATTATAGCAAGCTATTTCATTTGAAACATAGTTGCCAGATTGTGGAACATGACACTCTGCACCAATAAACATGCAAAGTCACTAACAAGGGATTAGATCAGACACACACCGATTTCGTTAAAATTTTAATACATTACAATACTAAGCTCAAATCAATAAATAGGCAAGCGGCACGACGCAACTCTCAAGCATTCGCAAAAAATTTGACTCTTCTTTTTTTCTCTTTCTCTGTTGTCTTCCCATCTTAGCGGATCTTGTTCCTGGAGCTATAGGGCCGAGTCACGTGACCCGGGAAGGCGCGGGGCGGCCGCCAATACGCTATGTATTAGCGGCCATACAACACGATCGAGGAGAAGCAAGTGTTGTAAAAAAAAAGACTCGAAACAGCAAGAACTGGTGCTGTGCAGCACAAAGAAACTGTCCTCCGCACTCACTAAGCGATGGGCTGTAGAAAACTTCTACAAGAGAGAGAGTTGCCTGCGGGATGATCCTTTCACTCGCAAGGCAGGCAGGAAACATCAGAGTATATCACGATCTCAGTTAAGTATAGTGGCGACTCATAGCGGAGATTCCGGAACTAAATGGCTTTTCCCCACAGGACGCGGAAATGTTTGCCGCGCGGCAAGCTTTGCTGGGCAGAAGTCATAACGTAAAAGTGATAGCAAGCTCCATGAACAGCATTAGCATAACGTTAGCATTTAGTCTATTCTTTTTAACTGCTGAACTGGTTAGTAATACAGTAAGTTCGAATGAGACAAATATATTTTGTCTCGCTCTAACTTATTATATAGTTCAGCAGTGCAGCTAAAAAGAACAGACCAAATAGTTGACTAGATAGCCACACACGGGCTTTCGCGTGAAGTAGACATGCCGTGTCGATGAATTGAAACTTCTATCGCAATAGTTTCTATTGTTCTAGTTCCTCCATTAAAATATTTGATTAATTTCTTATCTTCGTTAATTTATTCGTTCGCAGGCGCACCACGGGTATAACAAAATACTTATATTTATATATTATACTTATTTAGTTATGTCTATATTGTATTTATTTATATATTATATTTTTAACAAGACACGATGTACTTACTGCATTACTTGTATAACATGTCTTATTGAATATATAAGTGTATATATATATATAAAAGTGTACATGTTAAAAGCAATTATATATATATATAAAGGAGATATTTAATTTAAATTATTTAATAAATTATAATTTATTTCATTGTTAAACCATATTTAACAACATTTTGCATTTATTCAACAATAATTATAAGAATTTTATTACAATATTACAGCTACTAGTACAAGTCAAACATCTGATCCCTACAATAAGCACGTTATTACCAAAAATTTGGATATTGTTTAATCATAAATACTTTCCAATATTTCTTACTTCTGCATAATTTAATTAAAACTATAAATATAAATCAAATCGTATAATCATTTTAACTATTTTTACAATTTGTTACATGTTTTCACTTATAAAATGACCAATTATTTTCTTGAATGAGAAAATTGCATCCTAACAAAACAGTATGAAATGATTTATCGTATATATAACACAATCACAGATATAAAAATACATAGATTGCATTGTTTAAAAAGAATCACTGTATAATATCAATATATTTGTTCCTTTAATATAACATAACTTGCATCA